TGTCAGACTCGATGATCTACTGAGGTCCCTTCGGACCCAAACCTCTATGAATCCTACTACAACTGAACAGCCACAAGAGAGACCAAGAGCTTAGGACAACTCCTAAATGGTGTTAGGAATTTATATGGATTAATATTCTCCAAGTCACATTAGCTAAGATAGGGCAGAGAGATCTGTCTTTTTGTGCCTGGGCACAAACAAGCTCCATACCCCTCCTCCGAAGCACATGCCCTTGTACCCAAAGACAGGACACTAGACAGACTGGGCACTTGGTTTTCTGGGCTACAGTTCAAGAAACACTGACCTACTGCAAACCCATGCTCCACAGCCAGACCACACTGAAAGATGGATGTTTTCAGGGAACTCAAAATACTTTTTATCTGAGCCTGGGCAACCATGGGTAGGTTCTGATCTGAATATACTCACTTAACTGCAGCAGGACTGGCTGGTCCAGATCCAGAAGAATGACATCAAGAAAGGCCCCCAGGACTGCCACCCATCCTCAAAGACAGACAACAGATGTGGCAGAGAAGCCTGTGCCAGCCCAACTTACCTGGCCAAAATGCGCTGGGTAGCCCAGCATGTGCATGTACAGCAGCTTTGCCACATTCCGACAGCGGTACGTGTTATCCTCCTCTCTGAAGGACGACCGAATAGCAGCACACTCCTTCTGGATCATCTCGCGCTCTTCTGCCTGGGTCCGTGCTGTCCGGATGGTCCGGATCAGCTCCCGCAGTCTGATGGGGGCTGGCATCCTCTAGAAAAAGTGGGGGGAAAAAATATGTAAGCAGGAGAAAACCACACAACTTTCTCAGGTTTCAAACAGACAGCTTGGTTCCTTATCCTGTGGGTGCAGAGAGGATCAGAAAATTCACTGCAGGTTGCTTGTCAATAAAGACCTCAGAATCAAGGGAGCTCACCTCATACCTACTGTCCCCCTTTCACAACACACAGTGACCACAACAGACCAACTGTTATGCATTAAGTCAGCCACTGGAAGTACAAAACTGATATGGGTCCCCTACCTCACCTGGCTGAGATGTGGGAGCAAGGGGGGAAGGAAGGATACAGGAAATGCACCTGGAAAAATCTTCCAAAGAATATCCTAGTGATCACAACTAGCAGCTTTTTCCAGGAAGGCCACACACAGGTACCTGCAAACACAAGTTCACCAGCAATCTGGGAAACATCCACATTTTTTGTAAAAAATAGTGTTGGTTTTGATAACAAAGTCAGACAGAGGCAGATTTCAGACAAGGGATTAATGTAGTCAAATTTAACAGTCCAGGTTCACATAGTTCCTCCTAGAAAAGCATATACGTGGATTGCTTTTGTGGCTTGGACACATTTCAAAGAGCCCTTTTAAATTATTCAAGTTGATGCTGTCCCTTTAATCCACGCCTGCCAGAACAGTCCTTTCTAAAACAAACAAGTCTGTCACATTATACAGTGCAGCCAGCCAGTCAGTAAGGAGAGAGTGCAAAGAAAGTCTGTGCCATGTGAACTCCAAGTGCTCTCATCTTACCAGACAGGATACAGAATGGGCTGTCTGACCAGAAGGGAACATGCCTTCCCAGCAGTGCTACCAAATCCTTTGTGAGGTGCAAGAAGATAAGCAAATAAGGGCAGGCTTGTCCCTGCCTGCCCCGTCCCCTCCAAGGAAGTAAGCCCTGTAATACTGGTAGATAAATTTGTTTTCAAAATTGGGTGCCGCTCAATTCACAAGAGTTATGGAGGGGGCCTCAAGCCCAATGACACTGAGAGCCACTGCAACAATTTCAGCAGACTGCTCTATAACTGGGAAATTCATTTCACATGTTCTCTAAACCTGCCTTTGGCATTCAGGGAGAACAATCCTCAAAATTTTCTCGGTCTGCAAACTGCAGGGACAGCAAGAGGATCATAGCTCACCTACTTGTACCAACTGTGTTGTGCTCAGCAACACAGCCTTGCAATCTGGCACAGACTCCATCGATTGGATCGCCACACACCCCGCAACCTCGTACCGCAAAGAGACTAGTTGCTTGGGGTATTCTGAGCAGCACTGCATGAAATGTGTCGGCATAACACTTGGTCAGCCAGACAGGGTTTGCCCATAAATAACACTTGGGAAGTATCCTCCTGTTCTTACCACATCAACCTGCCAGGTGCCCCTGTATCCCTAAACGAGATTGGGTGCTGGCTCACTCTGCTAATTCAGAGCAAAGGACTACTCTCCAGAGAGCTGTATACTAACTAAGAGAAAGAAGAGAGTGAAGATGCACTCACCTGGAGCAAACACAGTAAAACCCTAGAGACAAGACCATTCACAGTCTTATGCAAGCTATCAAACTCAGGGACCGACCACTGGAAAATTAACAGGACAAGGTGAATCCCAATTCCCCCAGTAGTCTGTAGTTCAGCCTGCTAATCCATGTCAAAACTGTGCACTATGTTGTCTTCAATAGGATTTTACTTTGTGTTTGTTACCCTAACATATTCTTCCTTACTAAAGAATAAAGCCAAAGGGGGGGTGGAAAAAAAAACCTGACAGAAAAACAGCCAAGCTCAGCTGCATGACAAGAGCCAAGCTCCCTCCCTGAAAAGGGAGTTTTTGACAGCTTGCATTTAGATACAATAGGAGCACAACAACAGATATAACAGTTGCTTCACACTATTGTGGCAAATTCTGGCAACTCCAAGAGATCTAATCCCTGGCGGCTGAAGACAGTTTTGGCAAGAACAGCCCTGAGGTCAGGGCAGTGCCTTTTGCTGCCCTCATGAAAATCTTTCCAAGTTGGGCCAAGTTATAACTGGCCACTTCCAATCAGCCTTGCGTAGCAGTGCTTGTTTCCTGGCAGTGCACCAACACCAGTGAACACCATACAGCACTGAGCACAAGGTACACCAGCATTTCACTTCAGCATCTCGCATAAAAATCAAAATACCCTTTGCCAGGACATTAATAACCCCATATCCTTCATAATCGCTGTTGGGAAGGCGCCGCACGACTCTGAGAAGCCAGAAAAGATGGGAACATGACCCAGGTATCCAATGTGACAGACCCAAACCTCGCCACCCAGTTGGCTACAAAGGCAAGGTCTCCAAGGATGATCAGCATAGTGAATGCTCAGCCTGTGGTAAGGAAGGAGGCCAAGAGACCTTGTTTGTTTAGCTAAGGAAGGCAGGTTGAGAGGGAATGCAATTACTTTCTATAAGGACATCAGGGATTTAAAACACAGGGGAAGGTAAAGGACAATGCTGGCACTAGAATAAGCGGGTATAAACTGGCCATGACTACATCTAGGCTGAACATTAGAAGGTTTCTCACTACCAGGGGAGCTGGCACAGCTATTATGAGCAGTAGGGGAAAGAAACACAGCAAGTTTCAAAATGGAGCTTCACAAGGCTGTGCAGGGTTGCTTGCAGCAGCAGGAGACTGGGTCCAATGAACCCAGAGGTCCCTTCCAGGCCTATATTCCTATAACCAGAGCAGTCACTTGCAGGTAACAGACCTCAAAAGGTGAACCTTCCTCCTCATCACTGCTAAAGGATGCTAGCAATCAAACAGGACAAACAATTAAAAAATAACTACTAGCTGTGTGTCAGACACGGGACCAATTATGCGGCTGCATTTCTTAACTGCCAAAACAGTCTGGCACTGGGAGTCATCTGATGTGAACTGTTTCCTGAGCTGCATTTGTGACCAGCATGCTCCAAACTTCCTGCCCAGCCCAGGCAAAATCATGAGGAAGTGCTGAAGAGGGCATCATGAAGGGCACTTTGATAAAATAAAGCTACTGTTTATTTTTCCAGCATTCAGAACCTTGATCTCTGCAATTCAGTGACATGCCTTTCATTAATATTACACCTATTAACCTAGGTTTGGGACAGATCCTTGCTTTCTTCACAAAACAAACAAGCCTGCGGGGAGGCCAATGGGTCTGTGCATGTCTCCCCTTCCCCACTCCTGCCTCCCTCCCCATTTTCAAAAACAAAACATTCTAAACATTTACTCGGGGCTTCAGGCTCTTCCCTGTACCACATTCAGTATCCAGCACAACAGGCTTGGATTACAGCTTCACTTACACAAAGTGGAGGCTTTTTTCACCAACAACCTATTCTACATTCACTGGCTCCTAATCCACCCAGTGCGCATTTTCTAAGGACGGCTTTGTTTTATTTGCACAAGGTTTTAGAGCATACACGGGAAATCTTAACTCCATTAGAAGATTCATGTCCCCCAGACACAGAAAGGCAGTGATTTTCCAACACTAAAGAGAATGAGAACTCCTCAAACAGAAGAGACAACGCCAACAGAAACATCACATAGGAGAAGGTGGTCCAGATGAGTTTTGCGGGTTTTCACCCATCTTTCTCCAAGGCTAATCAAACTTGCTCCTTCACGTCACAAAATATACTGTGGTGGGGTCGGTGGGAGCGTATCTGTGATCAAGGACAAGCAGAGAGTTAAACAGATCACCCCATGTCAGCTTGGCACAGGGGTTAACAAACACAACAGCTCAAACCTGTCTGAGGCCTTTAGGGTTTACAGGAGGATAAAGCTAGCGTACACAGCAACAACATGGAAGTGAGCCAGAAACACCAAGCAAGAGGGATTTGGGACAGGAAAATGGAGCAAGACACCAGCTAGTTAATTAGGTGAAGCATCCTCCCCATAGCATGGTATACTATTTTAAATGGTTCCTACTTTGCTTCTTGCCCCATCTCCCTGG